ATGGGAAAGCAAAGCTTTATGTCTGTCCTCAGGAGGCCACATCGGGCAAAGAGCCTGTGAAGTACTCAGTATATTAGTTCAATGACTGGATGTCTTTGGCACATATATGTATCACAGCAAAACCCAATAGCTAAAATTCTCTCCTTTCCTTGGGGCTGTTGCACTACACACCTAAAGGGCATCCACGATATAAGGCCACAGAGCACTGCTCCTGAGGACCGGTGGCCGGTGCCGCTCACACGGGCACAGCTGCCCCTAAGGAAAGGAGAAACTCAACCAAGCAAGAAACTAGAGCACATCCAAGACCAACATGGCAATGCCAGAGCTGAGCCAAAAAAGCTGGAGATGGGGGCTGCACTTCTTCTCCCAGTTCACGAGTCTGGAGTATTCTCTCTGTCCAGGAAACACCCCCAGGAGCTCTAGTGAGCCTTCGGGGGCACCAGAAAGCGAGCCACACTGCCCCTGACCCTCAAAAGGCACTGGGAGCTTAGCAATGGCTGGTCACCTCGGGTCACGGGTGGCCAGGCCAGGAGCAGCTCCCACAGCTGGGCCGGTGCTTCCATCTGAAGCCCTGGGGCGGCCCGCGCCCACCACAGCTTCTCCAACAGAATCCAAGGGAGGATCTGGCTTTCTACGGCAGTTGTATATCTGCTACATACAACATCTGAAAAAGTGTAAGGGGCTTCAATCATGATGCTACCCCCTCCTCCTCAACTTGAGCCTTAAATCATCTTGAGTCTCAGCCCCCAAAATTGTGAGGATTGTCTTGTCCTTAAGAATTATGAACAGACAACTGTGTTCATTTAAAACTTACCCAGTATCCTGATCTAGCAATAACAACTGTCCACAAGTGTTGACAACTGTAAAAATCCCTCCAGATGGAGATCACCACTTTTTGAGTACAATTAATTTTATTTCATGATTGCTGGCATTTTTCCTTATTATTTAAGTTTCTACGATTCAGATTGGAGAGAACAGAATTCTGTCTCCATCAGCCAGTTTCAGAAATTCTCAGGAGACAGTTAGGTCCAGCGTTTCCAGTTCTCCTCCCAGAGGCCTATGTGGGAGGCAGGTGCCTCTTCTCTCCAGTTTCCTCCCTTCCATCCACCTGGCTTTCCTCTCTCAGACCTCCAGGTCAGCTCCTTTCCAGGTTAGACCAATGACCCCCTTCCTCACTGCTCCAAGAGTCAAAGTTTTAGGTCCCCAGCAGTCTGAAAAGCAGTAGCCTCTGAATGTACTCTAGAAACAGTACAATTCATGGCGTTTCCTGCTTCTGCTCACGCCAGTTTTACTTCTGCTTTACTGTGCCATGCCTCTGTGCACACCTGAAGGTGGCACTGCTCAGCTACACCTCCAGTCTCTGGTTCATCCTCATTCTTGCTACCTATGACCTGCTGTGGTTGGCCTTCTAGGCCTCTCTTTGTGGTCCCCCAACGTCCTAAAGATAATTCCCTATGGGAAACAACTAAAAGCTACATCTGCTTCTCCTACCCTTCAATTTAGCCAAGAGAACAGGAGAAGCTGTGGATAGTTCGGGACCTAGTAGCATGACCCTACTTGGCTCTGTACCTTTTAAAGGGCCCTCCCCGGGACCCTTCTTCTCCGATCCAGTCTCCTTATTAATTTAACTTTCCTCAACATATGTGTTTACTACTCAACTGACAGGGCTCACCACGCCGCAGCTCAATAGTCTAGGGTTTAATTTCACTTTTAGCCTTTCCCCAACACTTCTCAGTCACCAGGCCCCCTTCTCCATCCATCCCACTTTTATTCATACATTCCAACAAGTTTGTGCCCTGAATTAATCTGCACCAGGCACTTCAGTATTGCCTAAAACAGATCTTCTCCCTTTCCCACTAGTATACTAGTAGCCATCAGGGATAGCCAGAGGGCAACCAAAAATAATAATAAACTTGTTATTATATATCCCCTAAGAGGTCCGGAGGCTTTTGGACTGGGACCTGAATGATGCATAGGCAGACCTTATTGGCATTCACAACAACAATATCTGGGTGCTGACTCTATGCCATATTCTGCTCTAAATTATTTACCTGTATTACCCATGCAATCTTCCAGTAACACCGTGGGACAGCGTACTCTCAAGAAAGGAGACTGGGAGACAGGAAAGGCACCAGACCCTACCTTCCAGACCACAGACTGAAGCATTGTGCAGTATTAGGGGTAGGGGCTGAGAGACAAGACAGACAGATGTCCAGCCACACAGACCAACATACACAAGAGCCCTAGGCAGAGAAGATTTAGCCTGGGGACAAAAAGGAAGCGGAGTGTGTGGAGGAGCACCAAATAAACCAAAACATTTTATGATCAGATTGGACAAAATGTGCTACTTAGGAAGCACAACATGTTTCTCAAAAGTTAAAGAAAACTTTACAAGTGCAGGTAGTGCAAGGACAGGGTAGAAATGTCCAGGAGGCCATATGTAACTGAGGCTTAGGAACCTCCCATCATCCAGCCAGCCACAGGCCCGCTCTACATCAGACCCAGATCTGACTACAGCCACCCATACCCTTCTGCTGGAGACAGAACACTGGCTACCTGGAGTGATGCCTGCCAGCTCAGCCGAGACAGGAAGAAATAGGGACCACTAGTCCACGATGCCTGGGCACAAAGCAAGGCCCTGTACCAAAAACAGCAAGACCCTGGGCACTGGCAGGCTCATGTGTGTAAGCCTAGATACTCAGTGAGAACCACAGGTTAAAGTCAAGCAAAGCAGGAATGCCATGAGACTCTTGTCTCCAATTAACCAGCGCGTGCGGGAAGTGGTGCTGTGGCTCAAGTGGCAGAGCACTAGCCTCGAGTAGAAAATGCTAAAGGGACAGCATCCAGGCCCTGAGGTCTGGTGGAAAATAAACTGAAAGCACGTACCTTTCCCTCTGACAGCACATTTTAGAACTGTCCTTGCTTCTGAACCACCTCCCTTCCCCTTGTCCCTAAACAAACTCACCCTGACATCTTGGAAGAAAGCCTGCGATCTAGGCGACTTCTGGCACAGGTTGACACAGACACCACTGAAACCTTGAAACTCCAGGATCTTAAAGACTATTCTCCTTCCTCGCCTCACTTCCACCTGCCCCACCTGACCTCACCTAGTGGGAAGGGAAGGATGCCATTTTTTCTTTAGCCAGACTGAAAAAGACTTGGTACCCATCCCAGGTTTTTATCCCAAATAAAACCTGTTGGTCTGTTGAGCTCACCTTTCTGCTCTTTTTTTAGTGATAATCCCAGTGCACAAAGTATCTACTTACAAGCTCAAGTCCCAGGACCAACACACACACAAAAGACCTGCTTACCAAGCATGCGGCCTAAGTTTAAACCCCAGTACCAAACGCAGCCAAGGGCTGGTGGCTCACGCCTGTAGGCTGAAGCTAGCCTGGGCAGGAAGGTCCTTGAGACTCGTATCTCCCATTAACCACCAAAATGCTGTAAGTGGAGCTGCGGCTGAAGTGGTAAAGTGCTGGCCTTGTGCTTTAGAGATCAGGGACGTTGCCCAGGCCATGAGTTCAAGCCTGGGAGCAGAAAGAAAAGAAAACACCCTCTGTGGTCACTTCCAGCTACTCCTTCCAGAATCGCAGAAGGCCCCACGCTGAAGTACGTGTAGTCCACGGGAAAATACGCTCAACAAAGGCCTCTACCACCCAGGCCTCGGCCTGGCCGAGGGGTCGGTGCGCCGGCCTCACCCGGAACAGCTGACCCCACCGACCTCACCACGACTGGGGCGGCAGCCCGCAGCCTCCGGGCCTCGGTCCGAGCTGTTCCCGCGTGTCCGAGGGGGGCTGCGGGTCGGCCCCCTCCGCGGCCTCCTCCGGGCAGCCTGCCCGCGGGCCGGCCTCGCGCTGTCGCGGGAGGTTCTGTGTCTCGCGCAGCTGGGAGGGGCGGCGGGCGGCGGGCGGCCCCTCCACGACGGCGCCTTCGCTCCCACACACACGCGGGCCGCCCGGCCCGACCCGGCCGACGCCGCGGGGACCGGACCCGGCCCGACCCGACCGACGCCTCGGAAGCCGCTCCCGACCCGCTCGGTTCCAAGTAGCCGCGGTGCTGCAGCCGAACCTCCGGACCGCCGGCGGCGCGAGCCGGACGCCGTCTGCACGGTGCGGGCGCCCCGGGGCGGCGGGGCCTCCCCTGCTCCCGGCTCCCGGCTCCCGGCTCCCGACCCCGGCCCCGACCCCGACCCCGGCCCCCGGCCCCCGGCCCCCGGCCCCCGGCCCCCGGCTCCCGGCTCCCGGCCCCCGACCCCCGGCTCCCGGCCCCCGGCTCCCGGCTCCCGGCTCCCGACCCCCGGCCCCCGGCTCCCGGCCCCCGACCCCCGACTCCCGGCTCCCGACCCCCGACCCCCGACTCCCGGCTCCCGACCCCCGACCCCCGGCTCCCGACCCCCGGCCCCGGCTCCCGGCTCCCGACCCCCGACTCCCGGCTCCCGGCCCCCGACCCCCGGCTCCCGGCCCCCGACCCCCGGCTCCCGGCTCCCGACCCCCGGCCCCCGGCCCCGGCTCCCGGCTCCCGACCCCGACCCCCGGCCCCGGCTCCCGACCCCCGGCTCCGACCCCCGGCCCCCGGCTCCCGGCCCCCGACCCCCGGCTCCCGGCTCCCGACCCCCGACCCCCGGCCCCGGCCCCCGGCCCCGACCCCGACCCCGCCCCCCCGGCCCCCGGCCCCCGACCCCCGACCCCCGACCCCCGGCTCCCGACCCCCGACCCCCGGCCCCCGACCCCGACCCCCCGGCCCCGGCCCCCGACCCCCGACCCCCGGCCCCCGACCCCGACCCCGACCCCCGGCCCCGGCCCCGGCCCCGACCCCCGGCCCCGGCCCCGGCCCCGGCCCCGGCCCCGACCCCCGGCCCCCGGCCCCGGCCCCCGGCCCCGACCCCCGACCCCCGACCCCCGACCCCCCGACCCCCGGCCCCGGCTCCGGCCCCGGCCCCCGGCCCCGACCCCCGACCCCGCCCCCCGGCCCCCGGCCCCGCCCCCGGCCCCGGCGCTCACCTCCTTCTGCCGGGGGTCCTGCGGGTAGACGTCGGGCGGCCCGAGCCGCGGGCGCTTCAGCGGCCTCTGCTCGTAGCTGAGGAGCCCGAAGGCGGCCATCATCTCTCATGTTAGCCGCGACGCCCAGTCGGAGCTGCGGCCGCCGCCTCGGCGACCCGGGCGCGGCGTGGCGGGGCGGGGCGCTCCCCCGCGCTCGCTCCGGAGCTCCGCTCCGCGGTCCCGCGCTCCGTTCGCTCCCCGGTCCTCCGCTCGCTCCGGTGCTCCGCTCCGCGGTCCCGCGCTCCGTTCGCTCCGCGGTCCTCCGCTCGCTCCGGTGCTCCGCTCCGCTCCGCGGTCCTCCGCTCGCTCCGGTGCTCCGCTCCGCTCCGCGGTCCTCCGCTCGCTCCGGTGCTCCGCTCCGCGGTCCTCCGCTCGCTCCGGTGGCTCCGCTCCGCGGTCCTCCGCTCGCTCCGGTGCTCCGCTCCGCGGTCCTCCGCTCGCTCCGGTGCTCCGCTCCGCGGTCCTCCGCTCGCTCCGGTGCTCCGCTCCGCGTCCTCCGCTCGCTCCGGTGCCCCTCGCTCCGCTCGCTGTCCGGGCGCTGCGGGCAGGAAGACCGCAGGTAGGACGCGGCGCGGCCGCACGCCGGGCCGGACGCTCGTTCCTGAGGCGGAGCAGCGGAGTCCGCGGGCCGCCGCCCCCGCCTCGCCCCCGCCTCGCCCCCGCCTCACGCCCGCCTCGCCCGCCTCGCCCGCCTCGCCCGCCTCGCCCCCGCCTCGCCCGCCTCACGCCCGCCTCACGCCCGCGCGCCCCGCTCTCCCCCCCCCCCCGGGGCCGGGGCCTCTCCGTCCCGCTCCCCCCCCCCCCCCCGGGGCCGGGGCCTCTCCGTCCCGCTCCCCCCCCCCCCCGGGGCCGGGGCCTCTCCGTCCCGCTCCCCCCCCCCCCCGGGGCCGGGGCCTCTCCGTCCCGCTCACCCCCCCCCGGGGCCGGGGCCTCTCCGTCCCGCTCCCCCCCCCCCCGGGGCCGGGGCCTCTCCGTCCCGCTCCCCCCCCCCCCCCCCCCCCGGGGCCGGGGTCGCAGGAAACTTTCCCGGGCGCCTAGGCGTGAGGCGCAGGTGCCGGCCGGGCGCTGACGGCCGCCCCGCCCCGCCCCGCCCCGTCCCGGCCGCGGCCCGCGGGCGCTCCCGGCCTTCGCCGCCGGCGTGGAGGTGGAGGCGGGGGCGGGAGCCGGCCCGGGAGGGGGGACGGGGGCCGGCCCGGGAGGGGGCGGGAGCCGGCCCGGGAGGGGGGACGGGGGCCGGCCCGGGAGGGGGGGGACGGGGGAGCCGGCCCGGGAGGGGGGACGGGGGCCGGCCCGGGAGGGGGGGACGGGGGAGCCGGCCCGGGAGGGGGGACGGGAGCCGGCCCGGGAGGGGGGGACGGGGCCGGCCCGGGAGGGGGGGACGGGGGCCGGCCCGGGAGGGGGGGGCGGGGGCCGGCCCGGGAGGGGACGGGGGCCGGCCCGGGAGGGGGGGACGGGGGAGCCGGCCCGGGAGGGGGGGACGGGGGGAGCCGGCCCGGGAGGGGGGACGGGGGCCGGCCCGGGAGGGGGGGGACGGGGGCCGGCCCGGGAGGGGGGGACGGGGGCCGGCCCGGGAGGGGGGGGGCGGGGCCGGCCCGGGAGGAGGGGGCGGGGGCCGGCCCGGGAGGGGGACGGGGGCCGGCCCGGGAGGGGGGGACGGGGGAGCGGCCCGGGAGGGGGGGACGGGGGAGCCGGCCCGGGAGGGGGGACGGGGGCCGGCCCGGGAGGGGGGGACGGGGGCCGGCCCGGGAGGGGGGGACGGGGGCCGGCCCGGGAGGGGGGGCGGGGGCCGGCCCGGGAGGGGGGGGGCGGGGGCCGGCCCGGGAGGAGGGGGCGGGGGCCGGCCCGGGAGGGGGCGGGGGCCGGCCCGGGAGGGGGGGACGGGGGCCGGCCCGGGAGGGGGGGACGGGGGGCCGGCCCGGGAGGGGGCGGGGGGCCGGCCCGGGAGGGGGGGGCGGGGGCCGGCCCGGGAGGGGGGGACGGGGGAGCCGGCCCGGGAGGGGGGGACGGGGGCCGGCCCGGGAGGGGGGGACGGGGGCCGGCCCGGGAGGGGGCGGGGGGCCGGCCCGGGAGGGGGGGACGGGGGCCGGGCCCGGGAGGGGGGGACGGGGGCCGGCCCGGGAGGGGGGGGCGGGAGCCGGCCCGGGAGGGGGGGGCGGGAGCCGGCCCGGGAGGGGGGGACGGGAGCCGGCCCGGGAGGGGGGGCGGGGGGCCGGCCCGGGAGGGGGGGACGGGGGGCCGGCCCGGGAGGGGGGGGACGGGGGCCGGCCCGGGAGGGGGGGCGGGGGCCGGCCCGGGAGGAGGGGGCGGGGGCCGGCCCGGGAGGGGGGGGACGGGGGCCGGCCCGGGAGGAGGGGGCGGGGGCCGGCCCGGGAGGGGGGGACGGGGGGCCGGCCCGGGAGGGGGCGGGGGCCGGCCCGGGAGGAGGGGCGGGGGCCGGCCCGGGAGGGGGGGGACGGGGGAGCCGGCCCGGGAGGAGGGGGCGGGGGCCGGCCCGGGAGGGGGGGACGGGGGCCGGCCCGGGACGCCCCCCGCTGGGTCTCGGCAGCGGGGCCCCGCCGGCGGTTTACCTGAGGCGCCGCTAGCGCGGGGACGCGGGCCGGGCCGCGGCCTCCATCCGCGGGCGGGGCGCTCGCCGGGCCGCCGCGAGCCGACCCGCCGGAGGCCGCGGGCCTGCGCGGACGGGGACGGGGTGGCGGCCGGGCCGGGCCGGGGCTGGCGGGCGGCGCGGCCTGCGGGCGGGCGGTGTCGCCCCGGCGGTGTCGCGGGCGCGAGGCTCCGCGGCGGCGGCGGCGCGGCCGCACTGAGCATGCCCGGCGCACGGACGCGGCGCGGCGGCTCCGACCCGCCCTCGGCGCGCAGAGCGGGCGGGGGTCGGGGGGTCGGGGGGTCGGGGGGTCCCTGCGGGTCGCACCGCGCCGGCGCCGTGGCCTCCGCCGAGAGGGAAGGGGCTGCGGCCGGCCGGGTCCCGCGCCCGCCCCGCCCGGGGGTCGCCTCGCGGGCGCGGAGCCCCGGGTTCGATCCCCAGTGCCACCCGCACCAGAAGCCGGAAGTGGCGCTGCGGCTCCAGGGGCTGAGCAGAAGCAGCTCGGGCCCGGCCCAGGCCCGGTTCAAGAACCGGGACCGCGGAAGTCAATGAGGGGAGGGGTGGGGCCCTGCGGGGCCGGGGGGTGGGGGGGGGGGATGGGGAGAGGGGCAGGAGGGGGAGAGGGCCAGGAGGGGGGAGAGGGGCAGGAGGGGGGAGAGGGGCAGGAGGGGGGAGAGGGGCAGAAGGGGAGAGGGGGAAGAGGGGCAGGAGGGGGGAGGGGCAGGAGGGGGGAGAGAGGCAGGAGGGGGGAGAGGTGCAGGAGGGGGAGAGGGGCAGGAAGGGGAGAGGGGGAGAGGGCCAGGAGGGGGAGAGGGGCAGGAGGGGGGAGAGGGCCAGGAGGGGGGAGAGGGGCAGGAGGGGGGAGAGGGGCAGGAGGGGGGAGATGGCCAGGAGGGGGGAGAGGGGCAGGAAGGGGAGAGGGGGAGAGGGGCAGGAGGGGGGAGGGGCAGGAGGGGGGAGGGGCAGGAGGGGGAGAGGGGCAGGAGGGGGGAGAGGGGCAGGAGGGGGGAGGGCACGAGGGGGGGGGAGAGGGGGCAGGAGGGGGGAGAGGGGCAGGAGGGGGGAGAGGGGCAGGAGGGGGAGAGGGGCAGGAGGGGCAGGAGGGGGGAGGGGCAGGAGGGAGAGGGGCAGGAGAGGGGAGAGGGACAGGAGGGGGAGGGGGGAGAGGGGCAGGAAGGGGGAGAGGGGCAGGAGGGGGGAGAGGGACAGGAGGGGGGAGGGGGAAGAGGGAAGGAGGGGGGAGAGGGGCAGGAGGGGGGAGGGGGGAGAGGGGCAGGAGGGGGGAGGGGGGAGAGGGGCAGGAGGGGGGAGGACCCTCCCCCTCCCGGGGGTCCCCAAGCTGGCCTTGGCTTAGACAGGTCACACATCGGTCTTTTTCTCAGATGCCTACTTTGCCTTCTGGCTCAATTTCCATTTCAGAATCAGTGTTTAAGCCAAGGCCAGCCTAACATACCAGACTTACCGACCCGCAACCCGCTGTGTTCCATGCTGAGCTTCATTTCCCACTCGAGCTGGGCATGGTGGTACACACCTCTAATTCTAGGCAGGACACGCAGGACGGCTTCCTACAGAAGCACACAAGTCTCATTTGGTATTGTTTGTACAGCAGATCTCATCATTATCTGGGTCTGAGAGCAGTTTGCGTGGGACACAGAGCAGAAACTACCGAGGAGGGTAGAGCCTCTCCAGAAAGGCCTCAGCTGGACCTCGGCCGGGGTTCCGAAACCTGTGGAGGGAAAGGGTGAAATGTGGCTGGAGAAAGATAAGTTATAAGACACCATAAGCACAGGGGCTAGAGCCACCCAATCCGATTCTAACTGTAGTTTAGCTTTGAAAGGTTGGCAGATGTTCACGAGCTGGCGCCTTTCTTGAGGTACGCATATGGGCCTCTCAAAGATTCCTCAGCACCAGAGATGCCCAGTAACCTGTTTCCTCTCCAGCCTTGGTTTCCCGCATTTTTCTGGAGGGCCTGGCACTTGAGACAACACTTTTGTTCTCTTGGCAAACCAAAGTCCCTTTAAGATAGCTCAGGGATGGCTTCTTTGCCCTATGTTTGGTCTGTAGGAAATAGAGATACTGCCTGCACATGCCCTTTGAAGGCATTTCCGAACAAGCTCTCTCACCTTGCCAACTGTGGACACATCCTGCTAGCCACAGTCCACATCCTGCAAGCCACAGTCCACCTTCAGAGATCTCCAGGGCAGGTCATATGCCAGTGCTTCACAGGCATACAGACTACAGAGATAAATGTCAAAGGCTTAGGTCAGCAGAGTGCTTTTGTTAAGCTTAAGATGAAAAAAAGCAGAGACACTATCATATTTGCTGATCAGATTTTGAGAATGAGAATGAAAGGCTGTGTGAGAGAGCGCATTCCTGTTTTACAGATTAGCAGCTGGGGCTCCGGAGTGAGCTGTTGGCCTAAAGCCATGGAGTGAGCCAACAGCAAAGCAGGATCAAACCCAGCTCCCTTTGACTCCAAACCCATGTTCATTATTATCCTCTTA